AAAAAAGAACCTAACTGAGACTTCTCAGCAAAATTAAGAATTTAAAAAATTAGGAATCTAAAAAATGATTAAAATTATGGTGAATACCAACTTAATAAATATAGAAATTTACCATATTTTCTTAGTAAGTATTTAACGATGTTAAAAGTTATTCATTAAATATACATTTCTCATGTCTCATTTAATATTTTTTTTCACTTTCTTAGTGTCCAAACATGTCTCATTTCTACAGAATCTCACATTTTCTTTTTCAAATCTTTCAAATCCGTCTTTTCTAAATGTTAGTATCAGGAAAATTAAACCATGATGTTTCTCACTCTCTTTTCCAATAACTTTTACCATTTAAGACAGTCATCCCACAAGATTTATTTTTCTCAACAAAAATTGAATTATTTAGAGTTGCTTTTCCTCTTGAAATAACACGACATTTGAAGCACCAAACCACTCCCGAACATGTATATTTTTATATAACTGTTTTAAAAGTTAACGATGTTATATTATATGACAAATAACACAATGAAAAAAAATAAAAAATAAAATTCCATTAAACAATAATATCTAAAATCTTTCAGTTTGTTAACCTTAAAAAGACGCTTATGCCCTAATTTATCAGAAAGACTGAAACCTTGTATTCCACTATCCAGTGAGCTCACCAGCAGAGCCTTGTTCATTTAATTGTTTCTTTTGTCTAAAGCGTTGGGCATTATGGATCAGAATCTAAGAATTTTATTATCAATGATTACAATTCGAACTAATATAAGAGAGATTGCAATAATGAACCTGGTAATAAAGCTTTCCAGAAACAATTTTTAAGTTAATTTGATCATTGGTATTACGTGCAAAGGGGAATATTTCCTCCACAAAATTCTCTCTTAAACTATTCACACTTGAAGGTAATATGAATGTTAAAAAGAAAATAAACCACATGGCATTTATTGATGACAGTCGCACAACCTAACATAACGATTTGAGGAAGGGTTCATATGAAAACAAAACTTGCCCTCCAAAGTAGTTTTCCTCCATTAATGATTTTGTCGAGCACAAAACTTTATTAGTCTTAGACATGATTGAATATGTCAATGGCAGATGAGGAACAATAAACCTCCCAATAAAGGCGAAAGCACCCTTCTTAATGTGAACTTCAACACCATTGCCAAAGTGGTAGGTCCATTCTATTCTATCAAAGTTAGTTCACTAAATTTTTTACGTCAAAAGTTTCATAAAACATGAAAAATTATAATAATGTTTCTCTCAGTGTGAAGTGAGGGATAGTGGTAAACTAATTGTGTGGCTGTATATTGTTTTGATTCCTAAAATTTATCATATCAGTATTAAATGCTGCTCATAGAATTATATACTTTATTTCTATGTTAAAACTCTCTATGCGTACTGTCCATGATACCATCAGAAGTTTCTTTACATGCACGCAATCATTATGCTATGTTTTTGCTTTAAAATTGAATTTTGATCAACTATATTATTAATTCTGCAATGGAATACCTCTCTACAGCAACATGAGGAAATCAAACACATTATTGTCACAATTATATTGGAATGGAATATGGTGTAACGAGTGTGTTTTCGTTAAAAAGACATTAAAGACAAATATTTGAATAAGAGCAGTTAAAGTATAAGTAAAAACTAAAAGGTTAAGAGGGTGCAAAAAAGTAAAGGTTAATCTGGTAAATTAAAATTTAAAATAAGTTTTATATAAAATTGATTTCTAAAGTTGGTTACTAACATTAATTATTAAAATAATTTATTTCTATTTAAAAAACTGATCTCTAAATATATATTTGATCACTAACATTTATTATTATTTAAGAGTTTTTTTTAGTGCAAACTATTACAACAAATTTTAATAAACATAACTGAAAAATAAAAGAAAATTTTTGAACTTATAAAGTATATATGGGAAAATAACTCATTAGCATCTCTTAAAAAACTTTTGTTAAAAATCAATTATTCAATAACATCTATAAGTGAAAAGCATGTTTTCTTTATTTTATTTTGCTTACAAGGTAGTGGATAGTTTATATATAGCCTAATTATTTGATATCAGTTCTATCCAAATTCTATAGTTTATATATTCAAACTATAGTTTAACTTATCAAACTTTTGTTAAAAAATAGCTGGAAGAATGCAAATTGTGTAACAGTAGTTCAAATCTCCTTATAAAATGTTCCTATACCATCTTAGATCCTAAAGGCAGAAATCCACCAAAAAAGTTTTCAAAAAATACTTCCCAGAAAATCTGAGATCCCTGGAAGTCAATTTGTGAACTTATATGAAGAAAAGGATATTCGAATATGCGTGGATGTTGATGATCAGTGAATAGATTGGCTAAAAAAGGTTTGAAAGTAAAATCTGAGTTTGAGTGGATCCATTTTTCCTCCTCAAAATTTATGGTAAAACCAGTTTAATGCGTAATTAATCATTAAAAGTTGAACTCTTTAACACGACTGTGTGACTTAAATTGCAGGAAAAAGTAAAATCCAAAGGCAAGGGACCACATTTAGAATTAGCGAAACAATATTCCATCCTTGGTGAAAAGAAATGCCTATTAACAGTTAAGTGCTTTGATTGGAATGAACGATGCGAAATTGGTATTCGGGCGTTGTTGTGGATTCACCTCCACTTGGAACAAGAGGACAAAAGAGCACAACTCAACATTGACCAAATTCAATTTCTTCCCAACATTGATTTCCATATCTCTTTTGATGTACCCCAACCTCAGCCTCACAAACTAAATATTTATTTCATTCAATTACGCAGGCCTATCTGCCTACAATCATTATCCATTTATTAACACTAATATAAAAACAAATAACATTTTAATAAGTAATAAAATTCACAAAATCTGTATCCTATGTTTTGAATTGAAACAATTATTAATTTACTATGTATATTCGTATGATAGTTCCGTCTCCGAATAGTCAATCAAATTAACTTTCATATTAGAACATATTTTGTAGTGTCTTTCAAATAATATTGAACAAACCACGGTAAAAAAACTTGGAATGAATGATAACATTTCAACTTTTAAATTGTTACTTAAATATTAGATATTGATCTCGATTTACTTTCCAACAATAATTTGATCTATTCTGTTTTAAAAGAGCTAATATCAATATCAAAATCAATAAGTAATTCTAGTCATGGATTTTATATCCTACTTTTTGTTTAACAAATATTATCATTATTATATATATAAAACTTACACATAATCAATAATATGTATCTTTTAGTATTGTCATTTAAATTATATTATTATGAATGAATTTTGGATGATGAACACAATCCTTTAGTATTTTATTAAAATTAATTATCTAATGACCACATTAATTATGCAAAGTGTTTATAAGATGTAATCGAGTTGTCTTAAGTCTAATTTACTATTTAAAATGCCATTGAATTATGACCGTAGCTAAGAGAGGTGCTTCACAGATTTGAAATTCTATGTATTGTGGATACAATTGAATGAGTACCCTAACCTACTCACCCAATAAACATAGAAAAAGTTGATTAATGGTTGTCATGCTATGTCGGAAGTTCCTACGTTATAGTATTTTGGCTGGTCGCGTGCTACATCTATGTTGTAGTATATGAAGGATTCTCAATCCCATTCTATAGCCACGACAAGCTATTAATGAATCTTCAAAACCTGTCGGTGATTATAAAAACGGAACTAATAATGAACAATCTCACCAAAAAATAATATGAAAAAAAAATAATAAAAAATCTTATATTATACATCAACTTCTTTAATATTCATACTAAGCTTTGATTGAAACAAAGTTATTAGATGACGAAGCATTAATAATAAATAATAAATTATATTTTGAAGTATTTGGATAGAATTTTGAGATATGTTTTAAAAACTGAAAATGAATTTGAATGAAAATGGTGAGGGCAATATTCATATACCATTCTATCTTTTACTAGGAAAAGAAAATACTCAATCATTCTTATATATTGGTGAAGAAAAAACTTATCTAAATTACCACACAATTTGTATAAGACCGAATAAATTCAAGTTGAATCATGGCTAAAAAAAAGTTAAATAATAATAATAAAATATGATAAAAACAGATTATGAAAAAAGATATATTCAAATTAACAATAATAACAAGTATAAAATAATATTACAGAAGAATATAAAAAAATTGGTGGGTTGGACATTACCAGAGAATGATCTTAGAATATGCATGAGTGGGTAAGAGATAACAAACGCCATGAGGATCAACCAAACAAATTAAAGATATTTGAACTTTATAAATACTACTGTTTTTTTAAAAGATTAATACAAAAAAAAAACAAAAATACTTCTATTGGGAGCTATTGTATTTTGTTGTGTATTTTCTCGAATTGTGGATTTTGTATTGATAGGTAGAAGAAAATGACTACTAATAAACTAATTCAAACTAAATAATAACATGATTCAATAAAATGATAAATAATAATAAAATATGATTAAAATTAAAAGAATGGATAAAATATAAAAACAAAAAGTTCCACCATAAACAATATTTTATAATTAAAATTAGTAGACCATAAAAAAAGGAGTCCACACAGTTAGGATATTCTTTTAAAAGTATATTATAAATATTTTAAATGGTTTAGATCATCATTTTTAAATAAAATAATACCAAAATCATTGAATGATTGAAGACCTT